AACTTGTCTATTTTTTCTTTGTCGGATATATCGAGTTTCATCCCAAAACAGCGTTTAGCTACTAAATCAAACAAAAGTTACCCAAATATTAACTTGGTGAAAATAATAGTATTAACATATCGTGTCTCCTAATTTTATGTAGACTGGTAGGTCAATAGTCCCCTACCTGTACTAATTGAATTAAAAGCATTCTTAGAATTGTTAAAAAAAAAATAAAAAGACAATCAAGTAACTTCTTTAAATCTTCTCAGGGTTTCAATAGATTCCAGATATTCAGTTAGAGAATGTCCTTTTGTCCAATGATTTTAAAACTTTGGCACAGTTAGGTCCATCAAAACCACTACCATTATAGCCATGCCTAATAACCGTTTTCTTTTCAAGAAATTCCTTCAGATTTTTATCAGTAAAGAGGAGATCAATAATTTTACTGACATGGTGTTCATAAGTATGATAATCAGGTTGTGGAATTATATTAAAAGTCCTTTGAATTTTGTTTTTTCACCCATCATTGTTTTTTCACCCATCGGCCCATCACAATAGCAGCACAAGTATTTTCCACCGTGACCCTTTATTATAGAAAATAACTTTTAGGTATTGCTTATTTAAAGTATAAAATATAAATGAAATAAGGTACTTACTGATAATCCAATAATGATGTTGATCAATTTGAGGTCAGAAACCAAGGTAACAAACCAAGGTTAAACTTCAATTGGTTGAGTTGAAGGAGTTGGAAAAATGTTTTCAGATTGTGATGACGTCTTTTCTACGTTTCGAACTATATTTAAGATAATCACTCCAATGTACTTGTGGTTTTTTGGTTGAAAAGCTAATACTGATGGGTCAAACACGTTCATAAAAATCTTTTGAGATCCCTGCCCTCCATCAGTACCAATACGTACAACAGAATTAAAAGTATCCAATTTTCTGAAGGAATAAACTTCAGTTACGAACATAGATAGGTCAGTACAATAAATAATATCTTTATCTTAAAAGTTTTTACCAATCTTGAGCTGACATTTTATCACATCGTAAAACCTATTCAAGTAGCGTGACCTATTTGTAATTTCAGCATAGGTGTTCTCTTGTATTCCACTTTTCTTATCTCCTTCATTATTCCTAACACTGCACAGTTTGTAAGATTGTGATATATCTTCAAGTTTATGTTTGTTTCACTTTTTATATACTTTATAGTTGATCGGTCTCTGTATACTTTAACAGAAAAAGCTTTTCCTCCTGTTGCAAGTTTTATTTTTTTATTATCATCAAAAACAGATATTTCTTTTAGCGTACAAAAAACAACTCTGTTAGCGATATTTTGATTCCTTGAAGTAATTAAGGAGTGAAGATATTGAACAGTTTTTTTTTTTGTTGCAAGAATGACGAATACGAGGACCAACAATTTGACAGCATTCTGAGTAAAATGAATTTATTTTTTCGAATGTAATCTTTTCAGATTCTACGTAGGTGAACTCAGAAAGATTAAGTGTACTAATAGTACTAGTACACTGCCCTAGGCAGCAAATAGCACAATTGCAGTTCCCATCTTTTTGTTTAATTCTTTGCAACTTTTTAACTTGACCCCAACCATTTATCCAGGAAGTCTTCACACATTTACTGATTGCTTTACCTTTCTGTTTTAAATATAAGTTTGTCTTGCAGCCTCCGCATATTCCAGACGGATAAGAACTTAGGTTCAGACTGAGTCCAGGGTCCACAAGGTCTTTGATCAGATGAATAAATGAATCATTCTTCTCCAAAGGTAGACATTTTTTGTCTTTATCGACACAACAGAAGCATACCCATCTCCTATTTTCTGAATGAGATCTTGCTTTTTGCAGACTCATTTTGTACAAAAACGTTTTATTTAGTATTTTCTGTATTAGGTTATTTAAATTTTATAAATCATTTTAAAGAAAAAATTTTTTTTCTTGAATCCCATCATAAATTGTAATTAGGTTTCAAATTTTATCAAAATACATTTTGACGCTCAAAAGATACAGCCACATAAAGTTTAGGACCCCCTCATTTTTTTAAAGGTTTTAAGTATATAGAAAAATGGTCAAAAAATGAAAAAAGATGCGGTTTTTAATTCGTTTTCAACGGTTTCTATTTCATGTCAACCTGCTCTAAAGAGTGGTTAAAAAAATCTGAAGTAAAAATAGCTTCAACTTAAAACCTCTAAAAATGAGCAGTGGTCGGAAAATTTGTTACATAGCGTTATATCGGATAACTCGTTAAAATAAGTTTAGTTTTTGGCAGGGCTAGCATCAGATGGTAGCATCAGATGAGTAGAGAAAGAGCTAGGAGAAGTTGGTCAGACAACGCACCAAAGCTCAGAATAATAAAAAAACGGTGAAAACTAAACAAATTTTGTCAAACACCGTAAAAAATATGTAATATGTAATAGTTTTTTGGGTCAAAGCGTTCAAACTTGTCAACAAAAAAAATCATTTTTCATGCGCAGGTTTGACACGCAATAATTTAAAGTTTTAGAATCTTCAAGACATGACAAACTCTTTTAATACATTGCACTAATGGGTATTATTATAACAATGGTTTTTTAAAGATGTTGATACATAGAGAAAAAAAATGTATTTCGGAAAAAAAAAACTCTGTTTTTTATTATTTTTTCAACTATCATTTAAAATTTTAAATGCAAAATGGAGCAATTTTGTGCAGCTGGTTTTTTTTTATATTGCTTTTGGTTAGTGTAAATAGCAACAACAAAAAAAAAAAAAAAAAAAAAAAAAAAAAAAAAAAATGGAAGCACCAAAGAATAACGGAGAACGTTTTTTATAGTTCACTTTGAGAAGTTTTACATGTCTAATATTTTTTGTATGGTTTCTCAAATTTTTCTTTTATTAGAAAATAATCCCAAAAATAGTTTAAGAGAAAATATTTTTTTTTTGGCCTGAACATCATTTTGAACTGTTAATAAAAATATCACGAAACTCATGGAATTACATTATTTAAAATTGGGAATTTTTGCTACTTTTTCACTCTCTGAGACAGTACGGCGGTTTTTGTATTAGCAAAAGTGGTACGTTTATATGTCCTCTTCATAATTTCCTTCTCTTGTTTGAAACATTTGCCAGACAAATTTTGATATATAAAATAAAACACAAAAAATTATTATGTAATGTTACTACAAATATTACAAAATTTTAAACATTATTTTAAACTAAGGAATGCATAAACGAGATTTTAATTATATTAAATAAAGCGATTACAAACGCTTTTAGGACGAGCTTACCTTTAAGACTCTTTTATAGACGTAAGCATATTTAAAATATTTTTCAACTAACTACTTTGTCATTAAATATAATTCTTTTGGCATTAGAAAAAACCATAATAGTTAAAGTTTTTAATTATTAAACTGTTATAAAAATATTGATTAATAAAATATAGTTTTGAAAATAAAATTTTATAAAGCCTGCTTCAAGCTTAAAAACGACTCGAAATAAGCTCCGAAACAAAGAAACAAGAAGAGTAAATATAATTTAATTTGAAAAAAATTGAAAGTCATAAATTTAATATATGTAAAGGAAACAATTTTTTATTAGTTGCACTAATGATTTTATCAAAGTGTGTTCCTTTGTTTTTATATGAATATAACTATTATTCTTTGATGTTATTCCTTAGATGCGAAGCGTTTACAATTATCTGCTTTTTTATTTTTATTATTCATCAATTATTTAATTTTGCTATTATTAGATATTTAAAAATTATTTATAAAAAAAAAAATAGTTTAGGAGCACATCAAAGAAAAGTGCGTTTTTGTGTGTTTATGTATGTGGGTAAATTTATGTGTGTGGGGTAGGTGGACTTCAAACACCCTTTTGTCTACGGACATGGGAAAATCAGACGCAGAGCATCTGTGGTTTTCCCGAGATGCAATTTTGCTGGCAGTTATTTGCTAAACTTGATCGGTAGTTAATTCTCTCATGTTATACCGCAACATGTTTATTATTTACACAAATAATGTCAATGAGTAAGCTAAGTTAGAATAAACATTAATCGCATGGCAGTAGCCAGGATCTAGTTTTGGTTGCATAAAAACGATGATTTAAAAGAATATATTTTTTTTTTTATATAAAATAACGTAGTAGTGGAGATGTGCTGAAACAACGCTGTTAGTGACATGCTGAAAGGAAACGTTTTAAGATTGCTAAAAAATACAGAAAATAGTTAGCGGTTTTCACCCCAAAATAAATTTTGCGGTAATGTTTTGAAATATTTTTAAAAAACCATCAGATAAAATTTTTATCGCTATCGTTCAGATACTGTCCAATTTATGCATGCTCATCACTATAAAATATCTTATCTTTGAATAAAAAATGTATACTCAGTAGTTACTTGCGTATTGACAACTTTTATCTGAACAGCTTAAACAATTTATTAAATTATTTTAGTAGCAAAGTTAATTGTTAAAAAACATAAAAAAGAGTTTTATCCTGTGGGAATTGTATGTATTCAAAGTATTAATTTCTAATTCTTTTTTAGTGTAACTACGGAAAATCAGGTTTGTTAGATTTTTATATAACTAGATGATTAAAAATTAAGATTTGGTTTCCGTATACCACTAAACCGTATAAACTCAGAGTAATTTTTTTCTTTTTGGTAGAAGTAATTCGAGATTTCTTTTAGGTGAAAAACAATCATTACGTTTTAATCACTAAATGTGCTATACAATTACTTATTATTATTGACAATAATAAAAAATAGTTATTAGCTATTTCACGAGTAGTTACGGTAGTAATTTCGTGCTTAAAGCAATAATAGTTTTGAAAAAAGTTTGGACTTTTTTTTAATTTTAATTTTAATTACAAATAAAAACGCTAAATAATGACCTATAGTTTAGCTTACTGTTATGTTTTGTTTCTTTTACATTCAAACTCTTATTAACTTTGAATTTAATAAATATGCTCGATAAAAATTGAAAAATAAATAAAAAAAAGTTTTGCATTTTTTGTTTACTTTACAAACTCTATTGATTGTACAAAAATTTACTTTTATGTTACATCGTCTTTAATCGCAAAGCTTGTGATATAGTTAAACCTATAAGAGGAGGTTCTACTTTTGAATTTGTTTTTTTAAATATTAAGTTTTTTAATATGTATTAAAAATTTAGCAAAACATAGTTTAAACAGGTTTTAAAGATTAAAACTAGTGAATATATTATTAATTATATATATTATGAATTATTGTTAGAAATAAAGTAGAGGAGAGAAAAACCTTATTTATAAAAGTTTAAGATTTATGTAAGCAATAAAATAATTATTTGTTAAAAAAAAAATCACATTTATCTAGTATTTCTTCGTCGATTTTAGATCAAGTAATGACATCAAATCAAGATACAATTTTGGAGGAAGAAATTCAGAGTGATGAACCGACACAGAGCAGTTTTAAAAGTAGATTAAGCAATGTGATACGAAGAAGTAAACGTTTCATGTATGATTTTGTTGTTTTTACTTTAAATATTACGTTTAATTTTTTTATATTACTTTAAATTTGTTTTCAAATGTATTATTTATTTTAAAATATTATTTATTTTGAATAATTTTACGATAGAGTAGCTTGGTCATTTAAAAGTCTAAAAACTTTTATGTAAAGTATTGCAGCTTGCTATATAAACGTTTCTTTCTGTCTTTGCAAAAAAAAAACAAATTGTGTATGCTGACTAAGACAAATATTTATTTTAAAAGCAAACAGATAAAAAAACATACGAAAAGATCTCCTAAATTCAGCATTTAATCCGGGGGTGTTGTAAAAAATCTCCCCTTGACGAAAAAATACATATTTTGTATAAACTTATATTATTGCACATAGTTACGTAACGATAAAGTAATTAAAGTAATATTTTTTAGTAATTAAAGTAATATTTTTAATAAATAATAATTAAAGTAATATTTTTTAGTATAAAGTAATTTAAGTAATTACAGGTTTTAATAAGAGTTTTGAATCGGCCTATATAACTCGCATCATCTAATATTTTCCACTCCCCTTCTACTACTTGTCTATCAATCAGTTTCTCTCTCTCTCTCTTTCTCTCTCTCTCTCTTATATTTTTAACAAGACATCCTTTTAAAATGTTGAAACATTAAATGAAATCTTAAAAACATTATAAAAGCCCTTTTACAATGTTGTTGTTTTTTTTCACACACTCCTACTTATATTTTTGCCAAATGTTATCACTTTACTACACTGTATATGCTACCCTAAAGCTAGTTTGATTTGAGTTATTCACACCACATTTAGAATTGATGCACACCACATTTAGAATTGATGCCCGACTAAAACGCTGTCGACAAGAAAGTCAGCAAAAACTTTTGCAATGCACACAACATTTAGAATTGATGCCCGACTAAAACGCTGTCGACAAGAAAGTCAGCAAAAACTTTTGCAATAAATATCATTTTGATAAAGATCACTCCGTGATTATCAACTCTTCTTAGAGTATTTTAAGAACCTATAGACAAATAAATTTTAACTAAAATAATTCATTTTAATAAAACTGAACACCAAACATAAAATATTTTATTTTATATCATATATAATTTTATCTTAACTTTTTCTTTAATGATACGTTTTAAATGAGTTATAACATCCAGTATTGTAATGTAGTAACTTTTTAATTTAACTTAACATTTTTATAATTAATAAGATGGCAAAAAGTCTCAGACGTTAGAAAACGCGAAAAAATAAATGCCCCATAAAATGCCAAGCATTAATATTTAGCGCTTCACCCACAATACATTCACAATAAAAAAAGTTATTGAAAAAAGTCAGAGAATAAAAGAAATAAAAAAAAATTTTGTTCAGTTTTAAAACATAAATTTGCACTTTTGCTTACTTATTAACATAATATAATGTTTTCCAAACCCTTTAAAATGATAGTTTCAAGTCAAATAATTTCATGATAAATTAATGCAATTTAATAAGTTTAACAATTTATGTAAATAATTTTTTATTTACTAAAAGTGATAATTTTTTTTCTTATCAAATAAAGAACTACTTGAGCAGATTGTAAATAAAATAAATATTTGTGAAACAATTGACAAATTTAAGGTCACACTTAAATTATTGAAAATGCAACTTATGATTGATTATATGAGTGCAAAAATGATAGAGTGAATAGAGTTTAGGGTCGTTCTTAAGAGAAGGATGGGGGGCGTAGATTTGCAGTACCCCCTAGGAAAACAATATTCAAACATTGGTCGGCAAATTTGGATCATTAGTGGGCAAACGAGTTTTTAGATGACAAATTGCACAGAACATGGACCTTTTTTTTTTGGTTGTTAGTTGGTAAAAAAAAACAAATACTTTCCCCCCCCCCCTCTCCCCCTCCCGCCACACACACACCAGTGAGACCTTTTCGGGACGTCCCTACTACAACTCTATCAGTTTTGATAAAATCTGATAAATATAAAAATATTTTATTTACCAGTAAATAAAATATTTAATTTGTTTCAGCATCACAATGATCACATAGAGGTGACTAACGGAGTTGCCTATATAGATAGAAGCCGTTCAGTCAAATAGACATGGGAGTGACTAACCCCTGGTGACAAAAATTTTGCACAAAATAAAAGCAAGCAGTAATAATACAACAAAAGTTTTAATGAAAAAAAGTTTAGTACAAAATCTAAGTACTTTTTACTTTCGAGACTGAAATAATGCTTTCTCGCCATTACGACTTACTGCGTAACTTTTTTGTATACATGTTCGCACATGCTTTTTACAAGATTATTATCAATTTTTCTTTAACAAGAATGGATTCTTTTTTGCAGCTGATCTTTATTTTGAGCTTCCCAATTGTTTTCATACACGTAGCATTTAAGGATTGACCAGAAATTGTTGGTCGTAATTCTGGGACACATGCCGGATTATCAATTTTTAGTACAAAACAGATATTTTTCTCATCGAGGTAATTTGTCACACTTCTAGCACAATGTGAAGAGGCCAGGTCATGCCAGAATACATAATTACCATCACTGTGATGTTTGTTGATAAAAGGATCCAATTGTATGATGATGTAACCATTTTTTTACACTGTTTGGTTAATTGCCACTCTCACAGGAACAATAAATGGTTTTGAGATTCCACGAGGGGAAATGGTAATCCACACAAGAATATTTTTTTTTCAATTTTACTTTTGCGCTTATATTTTACATGTTTTGGTGCATTTTTTGCTTCTTCTGAGTAAAATCCAGCATTAGAATTTTTATTCTATGTTTAAATGTAAAATAAGACTCATCGTCAATGACAAAGTCACGGTTTCTGAATTTGCGACAAATTCAGAAACCGTGACACTTCACACTTCCATACTTCAGTTGCAGCTGCTTTAACTGTTTATTATGCAATCAGGGATTTGTTTTTTCTTAAAATAACAAATGTTCGTTTTGTTTTTTAATGTTTTTACAATGAAGGAACGATCACACTTGAATTTTTTTGTAATTTTTCTTGTTGAAGTTCCAGACTGGTTGTTCAAAAGGCCTTTCAGGTGATTGATTTTTCTATCAGTCATAATTTTTGGTTTTCTGTCTGATCCAGGCTTATGAGACTTTCGCTTATTGTTTTCCACTTTGCCATATAACGTTTGATGGTTCTTTCGGGGTGATTAGAGACAAAAAAATACTCTACGATGCTCTTCGTTTTAGCGTTGGGATGCAAATTACAATAGTTGTACACTTGTTCAATTAATGTAGTTGGCTTCATTTTTGGATAACTTTTTTATTAATTAATCCAAGTAAAAAAAATTTTCAGTAAGATAACTAACACTTTTTAACAAAACAACTAAAAAAGTAAGACTAAATAAGCAAAAATTCAATAAGTTTTAGCTTCTCAAAGATTGTGCCAAATTTTTGTCACCACGGGTTATTCTGAGAAAAAATTTTTGTATTGTAAAACTGTTTAATAACAATCAAAGAAGAGGTTGTTAGACTTATTTTAAATGTAAAAATAGTCTCTGTTGGCGTTATGAGCATGTTATGTAAGTGAAAAATTGCGTATGTTGCACCACGCCTAAACGTTTACTGGTGTATTAATCGTTAGCATAACCAAAAGAAAAATAAGAAATAAAATAAAAAGAAAAGTTAACTTAAATTAAATCTTAAATCGTTTGCCTGCGATGCAGTGACCTATACTACTTTGCAGCTGTATCAATGATTGAATATTGAGAAAAATAAATGGTATATTGCTATGCTATGCTAGTCTTATAAAAACTAAGTAGGTTCGTAAAAAGTAATAATATAAATTACAGCCTGCGCCCTAGTATAAAAAATATTTGTACTGTTATAACCAATTAAAATAAAGTATTGAATATATGATCCCCATTCTTTGGAATTCATTGCAAATGACATTTTTGTGAGCCCGAGGTCTATATTAACACCGCTCGACAAGTGGCGTTTTTTGCAGCAGACCTCCTTGAATCCATCTTTTTATTTTTCCAAGCTATACTATTCAATATTGCAATACAATTGGACCTCACTACAATAGCCTAATGTCCAGAATCTTACCCCCATTTTAGTACAGCTCTAAAATTGACGGTCATCTGTATGTAATTATTGTATCGGAGAAACATAATCTAAATTTACCAGTAAATTTAAAACTAGTTTAAAAAATAATTTTGAAAAGTACGTAAGTACTTAAAACTTTTAAGAATCAAAAAAAAAAGTCTACGCTTGGTGTAGTTACAAATTATTCAAATTTGATTTACAAATTATTCGAAATTATTAGTTTCATAGACTTTTTTTATTATAAAAAAAAGTTTATATAAAAAATTTTTTATAAAAAAAAGCCTATGAAACTAAAATAATAGTATATTAATAAATTTTTTTTTTTTTAAGTTTGGTTTATTTAAAAAATAAAAACTCTAATAAATAAAGTTATAAGAATAAGTGACATTGAAAAATAGTAACTCGTGCAGGAATAGTGAACGAGTCACTTAATAATGATCATTTGTTTCATTTGCCTTATAAACTATTTATTGTTTTCTGTTTGGCAGGAAAAAAATTAAAATCAAACCAAAAGTTAATTTTTTTAAGTTAATATCCAGTTTGATTACAGCATGATCAGTTAAAAAATTAAGAATTTTAAACGTTTTATACGTTTTTTTTGAAGCCAAATTGTTTATTAAAAAGCAAATGTTCACAGCTAAATATGACTATACAATATGACACGCATAATTTTTTACGTTCCAGTAATTTTGAGAAGTATTGTTGAGAAGCAAGATAGAAATCTGTAGTTCAATTTCATATAAAGAAGTCTGTAGTTCAATTTCAGAAATTTTTGATTTATTGAGTACAATACCATACTTAAATAGAAGATTAAAAATTTGAAACAGTGGCGTTTTAATAATATTAAAGACTGATTTAACTACATTCATGCTGATTTTATCAAATATCTGCACTTTTATATTTTTAGACTATTAAAAGCATTTTGCGTCTTAC